GATTGAGTTTTCAAAAGTTCTGACTAAAATACAATCTATTCCAAAGTTTACAGAAAAATTCAACAACCATCAGAAGTTTATCTCACGTCTCTCTGCAAAGAATTTTCTAGTCACTGCCTCTTCAGAAAGGACCAAGCTTAACCAAACACCGGTATCAGCTGCATCTTCGGGCGACATATTTCCGGCGTAGCCAGTCATTGCAGTCTTCACCCAACCAGGACAAAAGCTGTTAACATAAATCTTCTCTCCTTCTTCTCTACTCGAAAGTTCTTTCGCCATTAGTCTCGTGTAGGCATTGACGGCAAGCTTAGATATGGAGTAGTCGGTGAATGTCTGAGGCCAACCGCCTGATTTCCAAGTCCCGTCTTTTACTTGGTTGATGAATTTAGAGACAGTTCCGTCTATAAGTTCTTCGGTCAGAAAATCCGGATTGCTTAGCTGATCTCTCAACTCTACATTTGCAAGTCTCTGAATAAACAAATTCCACTCCGTTTAATGACAATTTCTTTTAACAAAATTCAAATGTTAAGTGTGAAAAGAGTTTCTTACATTACGTCTTCCATTTACTCTACCTAGCCGGGAACTAATGTTAACAATACGAGCGCCCTGAGGAGATGGTCTCATCAATGGGATCATAGCTTTTGTCATGTTTTTGGTTCCGTAGTAATTAGTAGATACAACAGTCTCGGCAAATTCAACGGAATTATCTGAGCCGAGATTGTAGTTGACACCTGCATTGTTCACCTGCAAAATACAGTCACACGAACGCATGTAATCAATATAATAAAACAAAAAACTATACTCCAAGATTACGGATTCTTACGAGAATATCTAGACCTCCAAATGTTTGCTTGATCCAGCAACCAAACTCTCTAATCGAAGAGGAGTCCGTGACATCAAGCTGATGAAATTCAACTTTGAGACCTTCTGCTTGGTCCCTCAAGGATTTAACTGCCTCAAGGCCAGCATCTACATTTCTGGCTGTAAGTACAACCGTCAGTCCGTGACCCGCAAGCTGTCTAGCGATTTCGAGTCCAATTCCTCGGTTCGAACCCGTCACCACAGCTACATTTTCAGAAGACCACCATCTACAAACCATTCAATGCCTAATCACAAGCCAAATTAAAAAACATAGCTTCAAAAGACATAATTTGTTTTTTCCAGTTTCTACAAAATCTACCAAAAGTCCAAAACTATAAGCACCAACAGTGCAAATTCAATCTGTTCAAACAAAAGCCCAGGAAAATAAGGAAAACTGATATGAAACACAAACACTCAAACTTTATCTCCATTTCCAGAACAATAGAAACCTGAACTCATACAAACATTTTGACAAATCAAGAGCTACACATAGTTAAAAACACTACAAGAGCACCTAGAAATAGAAGAAACACATCGAAGCTAACACAACGCTTGTCAAATCGAGACTCTCGCAGAGCGAAATGGAGATGATTTTGAGAAACAAACCAATCGGACAATCGGACAATTGGACAAATTAGATTCAATTTCATTACCTTTGGTTGTCTGAATAAGGAATAGTTCGAAGAAGAGAGATCTCCTGCATCCTCTTCTCCCTTCTCTCCCGCGCTTTCTCCTTGTTCGTCATCGTCTTCTTCCTCCTTCGCTCTCGTCGTGTTGAGTGTACCGTAGGCCTGCCCGTATGAGATCGATTCCTTTTTATATCAAGTAGGCTGACTCATATCTAAACATTAACAAAATGATCCTTCAATTTCTATAGAAACCACTTATTAGCCTACAACTTTTTAAAATAACTATTTAAACTCAAATCGAAAGTGGTTCACACCCAAACCGGTTACTGAACTTGATTCAAATTCAATCATAAACTCTACAGCAAGTAATTACTGAAAAAACTTTAAAAATAATTAATTATTTTTCTTTTGCTAAGAAAAAATTATTTTATAACCGTTTTATTGTCCTCAATTTTCAATTTTTTAATGTATGGTCGGTCACATAGATGTTTACACCGGGTTTATGACGAAAGCGATAACGTCACTAACTACACGTGTCAGGTAGTATTGGTGCTCGCGTCCTGCGTCTTTGTTGTGCTTATGGCATTTGCAATTTCACATGATAAATAGATAACTCTCGAATTTGTTCCTTCTGGGCACTCATTGCAAGAGATTTTTTTTCTTTCTTTTTCCCGACGTTTAACACAAGTTAAAAGGAGCGGGAAAATCATCGGTTTTCTGGGGATTTCTATTTATCCGGTTAGTACCCACGTAAATCTCCCTCTTTCTCTGTTTATCGTAATTGTATTTTTCCTTCGCAATCGAATTCTGGGTTTTGGGAATGCCAAACTAGAAACAGAGATTAGGTTTTGTAGTGGATAATTTCGAATTTGATACTCACAGCTCTGTTTTGTCTCTGATTTTTTTATGGATGATCTAAGACAGTTTTTTGATTTTTAGATTTAATTGTTTCCAGTTTATCTGATCTTTATGGCTTTTATGAATCATGGGTTGCTTCAAAAAAATGAAATTTTGGAGTTTATCTAATCGCATGTACTAAAATCTTCTGTTTTAAATTAGGGTTTTAAGTGGGTCATAGTTTGATTAAATAGTTCCAATCATCATATTCAAACAAAGTTAGATTTAGAGTTTGAGATATTACTTTATTAGTTGAATTCACATTTCTTACCTCTCTATAATGATCTATAAACAGGAGATAATGGCTCGTTATGGCAGTAGATCGCTAATCTCGTCATTAGTTCTTCTCTTAATCGCATTAAGCATATCAACGAGCCAAGGCTTTTTAGGGACTGAGAAAAAGATCAAATCTGCAGTTTTCTTATCACCAAAACTAGTGATGAATCCAGGATCAGTCTTGAATCCATACCTATTCGACATCGATTTCCCGAGAGGGCATATCGGCCTCAAAGCTTTCGATGCTGAAGTGGTTGACGAAGCAGGCAAACCAGTCCCTTTACACGAGACATATCTTCACCATTGGATTGTCGAACCGTACTACGTGCGTAAAGGTTTCGAGCTAACACAAAAAGAAATGCCAAGGAATCACGGATTTTCGAAACAAGATCCCGAAAGTAATCTTGATTCGAGATCCAATGATTATATTATTGTTAAAAATGGAGGGCTGTGCAGGAGTGTAATACTCAGGCATTACTTTGGATTAGGATCAGAAACCCGCAAAACCTCGACGTATGTTCCTGATCCTTACGCAATCGAGATCGGTAATCCTGAGGAAATACCTGATGGATATGAATTCAAATGGCTTCTTAACATTCACGCGATAGACACGAGAGGCGTTGTAGATAGATCAGGATGCACGGAATGCCGGTGTGGTCTGTATAATGTAACAGTTGATGAGTTTGGTCGAGCTATAAGACCTGAATACAAAGGAGGTTTATATTGCTGCTACGATAAGACTCAATGTCGATTGAGAAATGGATTCGACAATGGGGAGAAAACAAGAACTCTGTATCTCAAGTATACCGTGAAATGGGTTGATTGGGACAGCTCGGTTTTGCCCGCTAAAGTTTACATTTTCGATGTTACGGATTCTTGGGAAAGATCAGCAGGAGATAGCCAAGAACATCGGTGCCATGTAAGTAAAAAAAAAAATTTCCTATCTCTGCTTAATGTCAGCTACTGAAACATCATTCTTTGAATCTCTTTTCAAGGATCTTGTGCTTTTTTCAGGTGGAATACGAGGTGAAACCGTGCAAAACCAATGGCGATGGATGCGTTGACGTTAAGAAAAAGAGCTTAGTGATGCCATTTACTGGGTATATCGTCTACGGCGTAGCTCATCAGCACTCGGGCGGTATCGGTGCTGCGCTATACCGAGAGGTAAATTAAGACTGATTTAGTTTATGCCACGAGAAATTTCTGATCGATTTCCAACCATTTTTGGTTGGGAATTTGGTTGGAATTAGACATGTTTTCTTGTAGTGATAAGCTAATGCAAATCAAAAGATTGAAACTTTTTTTTACTGAATTGAGATTCTTGTGTATTGTGGATTGATCAGGACGGTGAGGGAATTTGCTCTTCGATGCCAAAGTATGGCAATGGAGTCGAACCTGGAAACGAGGCTGGTTACATTGTTGGAATGTCAACTTGTTATCCTTCTGATCCAGTGAAAGTGAGCTGTGGAGAGACACTGACTTTGGAGGTTAATTACAGTAATTCCATTGGTCATACCGGAGTTATGGGACTCTTTTACATTCTCGTTGCTCAGCAGCTGCCTGAACCGGAAAGCTCCTTGTCTAAACTTATTCAGGTAAAATAAAAGTAAAACACACCAGTTCCAAATGTCGGTTTAGGTCAAACTGGTTCAATAGATATCCGGTTTTGGATTTGCTTTTACTTACGTTTTCATCTTAATTTCTATGCAGGCAAATGCGATAAGCGTGAGCTTTTTGGCCTTTC